GTCACTGCCTCCATATCTTCCCCTTCTATTTGCCAGGAAGTGATGGGACAAGTGGCCATTACCTTAGTTTTTGTTTGTTTGTTTGTTTGTTTGTTTGTTTGCTTGCTTGCTTGCTTGCTTGCTTGCTTGCTTGGAACTACCAACTGAATCCAATACTTTGGCCATCTCATGAGAAGAGAAGACTCCTTGGAAAAGACCCTGATGTTAGGAAAGTGTGAGGGCAAGAGGAGAAGGGGACGACAGAGGATGGTTGGACAGTGTCTGCGAGGCAACCAGCATGAATTTGACCCAACTCCGGGAGGCAGTGGAAGACAGGATGGCCTGGTGTGCTCTGGTCCATGGGGTCACGAAGAGTCGGAAACGATTAAACAACTAAACAACAACAACAACAACAGAATCCCAGTGGCCATGATCTTAGTTTTTGTTTGTAACCACCAACTGAATTTGGGCCATAAGCAATATCTCACTACAATCTGAATGCTATGGATGAAGTGTGAAATATTTGTTTGTGCAGGCCATATCATACTAGCACTATAGACTTGAACTGCTTAAATTACTCCCCATCATGGGGAGTCATAGTGCCCAATAGTTCCATTAGTGGAGTAGCTGCAGAGGGCCACTATTATTAACTCATCTTCACACTGTATGATCACACTGTTTTAATCTCCTTTTCTGTGGGCGCTAGCAAAATTGAAGGGGGCGGGGGAGAAGTGGGTGCTCCAGGAATTGCCTGATCGTTTGATCTCATAAGCCAAGCTGTGGCTCGTGCTTGTTCAGCAGCAGGATAACCCCCTACTTCCTTGTTGGTTCAGAAATAGGTCTTCTTCCGCAGGGGCTTTCCCCCAAGCTGCATTGTGAGGTGAGGAGTGAGCTGATGTGGGGTGGGAAGGTGGGGAGGAGAGAGAGAGGATGGCACAAATCCCTACGCAAGGAAGGAGGTCAGCTCTCACACTGCTGGGCCCCAACTGGGCTGCGCAGGTTGAATTCCTTCTCAGATCGGCTCTGTGTTCTATGACATCTTGCTGTGTCAAGTCTGATTACTCTAATCTTCCGCAGGCTTTCACAATAAGGAACTCCGCTTAGAAGCTGGGCATCGGCAGCATGAAAGCTGCCTTTGTGCGTAGCGGTCCCTGGCAGAGTGCAAATCAGTCATTAGGTGTATGGGGAGGGAAATGAATTCTTTACATGCCAAGGGAAGCCATCAGGAGGAAACTTTTGTACTCAAGACCATCCCTACTTTGAAAACCTTTTCATGCCGCTTTTTTTGGCCCCTCTTACTCTCCGAGTAAATGGGAGTTCAAGGAACCACTTGTCAGCAGGAGCCTCCCCAGCACCAGATGCAGGATGCCTTCCCCGTCCACAGAATGTGGTGTAAACAGCACGGCAGAAGAATAACCACCCACTGAAAAAGGACCTGGTCTTGGATCCTTTTTCATGCGCAGACTACAAAATCCAGGAGGATAAATCTGGAACGCTACTGGGAACGAGACCGGAGACGGTGAAATCATGGGAGCAGCTCATGGGAAAAAGGTAACCGTGTTTAAATTTTGCAATTGTCATATTGCATTATATGGCACTGCCTAGCCAGCATGGGTGGAAATTAACCAATTGAGATGGATCTGCAAGGCATGACATGGCAAAGAATCAGCTGTTATATGGACTGTGGTCTCTCATGTGTCATCTGGATAGAATCTGTCTGGTTAATACAGTGGATAAATTAGTTTTGTTTCAGGGGTGGGGGGAGGAACACAGGATGGCGTTTCACAGTAACACCGAAGGAAGCAGAGTGGTGCCCTCGCTGACAATTATGCAAGTAATGAAGCTGAAATGGGGCCAACATTTGAGTTTAGTTTTTAAAGCATGATTTTTCAAGTTGTACCTATAGCATGCATGCATATATGCAAAATGCCTTCATCCTAGAGAGGTCCCCCAAATAATATATCGATAGATAATTTCATGAGCTACAGGTGTCCAGGATTTTAGTATCATACAATACTCTTTGGCCAAGGTGAGTAAGTTTAAAATTTGATTTTGAGTCATAGAGAGTTCTTGACTGAATCACGTCACACAGGCCGTGTGTTTTTATCTGCAACATTTGTCACCTTGATTTACACGAATTCTTGTTTGTATATAGTCTTATGTATATTGCGGCTTGATTTCTTCCTGCCCTATACCCACAATTTAAGGTATGTAGTAAAACACTGAGAGATAAATGAGAAGCATTAGCAGGCTTGGGAGAAAATTCAGTTTATAGAAATACGTAACATAAGGAGGGACCAACAAAAACCAGCCCAGTGAGAACTGAACATGCTCAGGAACTATGTTTACTGTTGGGGGGCACAGAATACTGGGGTGGGGGCAGTGGGATGCCTGGCTTGGAGCCCTGAACAGGAGGAAGTGAAGCCATGCTTCAACATTTGTTGTAACTGAATTTTAAGGTATCCCCAGTGGATGATCCATGTTGTGAACCAGAGTATCTGCAGAAATAATGTTGGTGGAGAGTAAAAGTCTATTGTTGAGCTGACTATAGTTTTTATCTGTTTACATGTAAAGAAATATCAAGTTTAGGATTTGGGAGGGGAGTAAGCATCCTTCTTTGCTCCCCTGCCCTGGTGGACACTCGTGGCTCTGGTTCCTTCGCCAAATCACTGCCATTCCTGTGTCTATCCTCTCCCTCTGTGCCCATTCTAAAGGAAAGCATGGGGCAAGTAGAGGATAAGTGGCCTATTTCCTCACTCATGCCATGGTTTCCTTGCTTAGAGTTGCCAGATGAACAGGTAATAAGGATCAGAAGGAGCACAATCAGGAAGCTTCAAAGAGCAGCAACGGGCCCTCTGCTGAGAGGTGGGCCTTGGCAGCTGAACCACAAGGCCTCCAACTGGCCTTGAGACCATTGTTCCCATGAGAGTAAGGCTTTATTCTCTCATTCTCATGTGCTACAGGCTGGTGGAATGGCTGTCCAAAGACGCTTTTTGGGAAGAGAAGGGGCCACATGGCATTTTGTCCAAACAAGGTAAATGAGGGGGGGTTAATAGCCCATCTCTCCTCATGTGCCTCCTATTCGCCCAAGTAATGGATGACGTATTCTCGAAGGCTTTCACAGCCAGGATCTGATGGTTGTTGTGGGTTTTTCGGGCTCTTTGGCCGTGTTCTGAAGGTTGTTCTTCCTGATGTTTCACCAATCTCTGTGGCCGGCATCTTCAGAGGACTGGAGTAGGAACTCTCCAGTTCCTACTCCAGAGCATGGACAGAGTTCCTACTCCAGTCCTCTGAAGATGCCGGCCACAGAGATTGGCGAAACGTCAGTAATGGGATGACCTTAACAAACTGGAGAACAGGGCCAACACAAGGGGAGGGCAGAGATTTTCAAAGTTCTGCATTTAGAAGCAAAAATTCAAGATGGGTGACGCCTGGCTTAGTATTAGTATCTGTGAAAAGGATCTTGGGTTCTTACTAGACTGAAAATTGGACATAATTCTACACTGTGAAATAATGGGGGGGGGGAGAGGTTAATGTGATACGAGACTTCATCACCAGAAGCATGGCATCAAGATCATGGAAAATAATAGTACCACTTGTAATTCTACACTGTGAAATAATGGGGGGGGGGAGAGGTTAATGTGATACGAGACTTCATCACCAGAAGCATGGCATCAAGATCATGGAAAATAATAGTACCACTTGATTCTGCCTTGGTTAGATTCTGACTTGGTTACAGTAACTGTGTCCAGTTATGGACATTACAGTGTAAGAAAGATCCCAGCAAGTCAGAATGTGTCCAGAGGAGAGCAACACCATTTTAGAGGGTTCTGGAAAACAATCCCTGTGAGGAATGGTCGAGAAAGCTTTCAACATTTCCTCTGGAGAAGATCATACTAAGAAGTGATATTATAGACTTATTTCAACATTGGAAGGCTGCCTGGTAAAAGATGGAAGAAGTTTTATTCCTGCAGCTCCTGATAGGATGGAAATGATTACTTGAAATTACCAGGAAGCAGATTTTGATTAAACTTTAGGAAGAACTTCCTAACAGTAAGAGCTATTTGACAATGGAACGGATTATCTCAAAAGGTGATGGACTCTTCTTCACCAGAGGTTTTTAAAGAGACTGCCATCTGTCAGGAACACTTTACCGGCAGATTTCCTGCTTCGGCAGGAGACTGGGCTCAAAGACCACTGGGGGCCTTTCTCTCCCTGTCATTCTAGGATTTGGCTGACCCAATTATGCTTCCTCTCCTGGACACAATAACCTAAAAATCTAAGTACATTCAGAAGCTCACAAAGAGGACTGCAGTTGTCCAAGATTAAGTCCTCCGGTCAACAGAGAACTGTAACTGAGACTCCGAGCACACAGTTGCTCATTGGTCTCCTCAGTTGCTTCCTCTTCATCTTGTCCCACCTCTTTTGCCGTCATTGGTTGTTCTCCTCTGACATCACAACAGGCCCCAGAAAGCTTAGTTCATGGTGTGGAGAAAACTCAGAAAAAGATGCTCTTCGCACTCTGGGATTTGGTTGTGAAGCTCTCACTACTGATGGTGGAGAACATCTCTCGCACCTCTTATTACAGCACAGAATTTGCATTTCCTCTCAGAAAGCTGAGAGGAAATGCAAATATACCCTGTTTCCCCAAAAATAAGACCTAAGCTGAAAATAAGCCCTAGTAGGATTTTTCAGGATGCTCATAATACATGTAAGCCCTACCCCAAAAATAAACCCCAGTTAAGTGAAACCCTGCCCTCTAACATTGCGCAGCCACCAGAAGAAGATGACATGACTGTATCTGAATAAATGTAGAGTGTTGCACATGGGGGAAAATCCCCTGAAAATAAGCCCTAATGCGTTTTTGTTTGTTTGTTTGTTTTTAGCAAAAATTAATATAAGATCCTGTCTTATTTTCGGCGAAACACAGTAGAAACGCAAAGTATACAACTAATTGTTCCAGGAGTGTTTCAGGACCTTCTGCTTTCTGAATCTCTGAACATTGTTTCCCTCTGAATTGGAACATAGAAGTCCCTCTTTCCTTAAAATAATAACAATAACAATAACAATAACAATAACAACAGTAACAGTAACAGTAACAGTAACAGTAACAGTAACAACAACAACAACAACAACAACAACCACAACAACAACAACCACAACAACAACAACAGAATAATATTTTTCTGAAATATGGAAAAGAAGTGTATATTCATAAATAAAATCATTGTCAATAGAGACTCTCAATAATGATAATAATGATAATAATGATAATGATAATGATGATAATGATAATGATGATAATGATAATGATAATGATAATGATAATAATAATTCCAGCATGCACCCTGAGCAGCAGCTCTACAGTTCTCAAGGAAAGGCCTTTCTGTCTGATCTTCTTAACTAGACATTCTGGGAGCTGATTCTGGAGTCTTCTTCGTGCAAAGCGTGTATTCTTCCCCTGACTTCCCTTCACACATTAAAACAGCACTCCAGTCTTTTCATGGAGCCTTGTGGGACTTAAAAGACAGAAGTAATAGACAGCAGTAATGGTCCAGGACCTGTTGCTTAGCATAGTCAACCATGCTAAAGTAGGCCAGTTGAATCAGTGGGGATTTAGTAAACTCTTCTGTAGGTTCTATTATTTCTAATGGGTCTACTTTAACTCCAGTTTACTATGCTAAAGCAAATCACAGTTGGAGTAGACCCATTTGAATCATTGGAATGTAAGGAGGCATTAACTCACTAAATCCCCATTGGTTCAGTGGGGTTACTCTGGGCAATTTACTATGCTAAGCAAAAGGATTTGGGCCACTGTGTCATAATATATCTTAAGTGAGTTTTATTCCATTGAAGCATGTGTCACAGATTAGTCTGTTAATCTTTTTACAGCAACAATTTTTCTGGATATTCTTCAATCTATGATCTTCCCATTAAAATAAGTAAATCTCTTTGTTGCTCCTTGCCTTCACGCAGCCTCCCTCTCCTTTTTATTTTAATGGAGAGGGTTATTTTAAAGAAAAGCCTATTAGCTTGGCCTGCCCTCATCCTAATCTGACCTAATACCATTGTCTGGTGATTTATTTCTCCACTTACCGGTATATTATTTCACAACCAGGATTTAAAGGACCTTAGGATACTACTAATGCATCTGCTGGATTACCCTTTGTGGGAGATTGCCACAATTTCCCCCCAATTATAGTTGACTTTACAACTAGACTTGACTATGGCCAAGCCAGACGAAGGAAACTGGTGAGAGATGCCTCACCAAAGGAAATAAGTGTACTGTTTTTCACTAGTTTTTTTTAAATTGGATTGCTTTTCTATGGGCAGATGCATTGTTTACCTCTTTATAGGAAAAACAGAATAACTAGCTTCCAAATAGTATATTGCATGAATATTTTAAGGGGATGTGGTGGCGCTGTTGGTTAAGCCGCAGAAGCCTCTATGCTGCAAGGTCAGAAGACCAGCAGTCATAAGATCGAATCCACGCGACGGAGTGAGTGCCCGTCGCTTGTCCCAGCTCCCATCAACCTAGCAGTTTGAAAGCA